GTGTTTTGTAAGAAGGCTAACAAGCGTAAACTTTTGTCTGCCTGAAGTATTCTAATGGAGACAAAAAAGGATGTAATATATATATATATATACGTATATCTCTTATTTCATAAATCATGTATACTTTACTTATTGCTTTGTTGTTTTCTGTGATCAGAAGATTGACCATGATAGAAGGGAACCAAGATTGGACACCACCACACACCTACCTTGTTTTATGATGATGTCGACACCACCACACGGGCAATTCACTCCTTAAACCCATCACGACCTATTCGGTTCGACACACCCATATGACATGGGAAAATTCATGAAAAAAAACACTAATTGGTGCTCTAACCGATCTCCAAATATGTGTCAATTTGGGATTGGGATATATTGGGATGATAGAATTGTTCACCATTTTTCCAAATTGGGTGAAAAAGCAAGCATTGCCAAGCCATGACCTAGACTATAGCATCTTGTGAAACCTTTAGGTGTGTAACACCTCCGAAACATCACTCCCCAACCCTCTTGAAAAAGCCATGGGGATCATGCGCTTGAACGTGTGCACTCAAACAGTCAGCTGCATACACACCGTTGCGTGGTGACTCTCTCTCTCTCTCTCCCTCTCTTTTTTTCTTTTCTCTCTTTCTCTCTCTCTCTCTTTCGCCTGTTTCCCCTTCAACAACTACCAACAACTACTTCTATACTGAGGTGAAACCTCAAGAAACTGCCTCGGCATTCTCCGAGTCCCTTCCAACCTCGCATGCGCCACATGCCTCGCTTGGTCAAAGCGGTCTGAACTGGGGCTCTTCACGCCCAAATGCTCCAAAGAGCCATTGGTGGCACCTGACTCCCAGCGACACCCAGCGAAACGTGGGACAATCAGAGCCACCTCGAGACTTTGGAGGCTTTGGAGGTTCGGGACAGAATCTGCTGGAGCACACCAACATATATATATATATATACTGTATATATATATATATACTGTATATAATCATAATTATATACATACCTTTTTGCTGATGCTTTGCTGTGAATTCACAGACCTCGAAAACTTGCTTGCTGGTTTGAGCTAACCTCAGCTGCCAATTCATCAGTTCAGCACTTCGTCGAGGGCTGAGCATCTCTTCTTCCGAACTTCTAGCGTTTGGCCGTGTCTAGTCACTTGTCGCATCTGAGAAGAGCCACCATGCATGGACGGAGTTGTTGGTGCAGATTGTAGACCCGGCCTGCTGCGCTGGAGCAGCTGCGAGGAGAGCACCAAAACCATCCCATTCTCATTTTTGCCCAAATGTGGCTAAAGATGGCAAACAATACACAATATCAAACGGCGCTATTACATACAGTAAAAGTACAACTATATATATATAGGTCCAAACTCTAAACTGAGACAGCACCACGGTGTAATGGGTGTTGTTTTGGCTTGCCTTTTGAGGGGTCTTGAAGAGTGTGTTGAACAGGGTTTCGAATGCGCGCCGTCTATTTTGTCTAAGACATAGTTCTGGGTGTTTCAACAAATCGCCATCTGTATGATGATATCCAGTCTCTCCCGGCAGCAAGAACGTGCTTTCGGTCATTTTGAGAGCTTGAAACTCTCCGGCACCATCCCATTCTCACCAGCTTTTGATTACTGTATATGACCGTTCTTCGTGCACGCACACCTGTCCACCTGACTGTGGGGAATACTGCATCATTTACATGCAGGACGGCAGGTCTCCTTGAGACCAATGAGTTTGTCGAAAGCCTGGGTTTCATAGCTCAGGCTGAATTTTGCCAACTGCCGAATGTAAGTGCCAGGGCGTATTATACCTGGGTTCCCTCTTCTAGATTTTGGTCTGTATCTGATCTGGTGGCAGATTGCTGTGTCCACATGTGACCACATAGATCGTTCACTGATGCAGCCAGTCGCAAAGGCTCTGGGACATTACACAGCCAAGGCGGACGCTGGCTCTTTTAACCAGGTCCACGGGAAGCTCTCCCAGGTCCCCCAAAAGTACCCATTCCAGTATCGCCAGGCCCCCTTCATTTGGAACAGGATGGAAGGCCAGGAACTGCATCACCCACAAAGGCCCACTGGTAGACAAGTTGGGCAAAGTTTCATCAAATCCTTCGTACATATACGCAGCAAGTCATACATGCTTCTCTACATGTTAGACCCCTAATGTACAAACCAGTTTCACTCCACGCAGTTCTGTACAAACAAACTTCATCTTGTCTCTGAACATGCGTTGGTAGAACCTTTGGTTTCTTGGGATGCGATTTTGAGTGTCTGCGAACTCCACCCAGTCGTCCGGAAGACTTCCCACCTGAGCGCATGCCTCCCGGGCGAATTGGATGAGGGGGACAATCTGGGCGGCGCAGGCGCGCTGACACGAGGATTCTGCACCCGACAAGAGACGAAACACAATAGACACCTGCCTGATCCTGCGCACATGCAACACTTGTAACACTTGTAACACTTGATCCATGTGTAAATGCATCTGCAAAGAGTGTGCAATAGCCAGTGAACTGTGAGGTGTCCCACACTTCAATCACCGTAGAAGCTGTGTTGGTGTCTTACCTGAAATGTTCCTTGCTTCAACATCTTCAACATCAAAGATATTAATTTTAATGTCAAAAGAACTTGGTCTTCACTCTTCACTATTCTTCACTGCAAAAAGACACTTCCCAAAACAACTGAGGACATGTGCAGCACTAGGACAGGGTTGCAAAGTCTTAGAACTTAGAATCATCGAGGTCTGATTCAAAGAAGCTTGGATCACATCCACCACTTGTCTCCCTCAAAGCAGGCATCTGTTTGAAATGCTTTCAACACTCACAGAAACTCTCTCGAGTCAGATGATGTGGGCCGGACCATCCCACCAAACCATACAACAACACCCGAACAATCGATCCCACCCACATATCTCCCATCCTCCCGACCCATGCCTTTTGCAGGGACCACCCCGTCCGAGCCGAGGCACACGTTGGATCGTCCCTTTTGGCTGCCCTCGCTCCGCTCGAGCTGTGGTGGAGGCGTTAAGCCAGGCGCTGGGTTCACCACGCCCGACCAACTGTGGGGCGAGGTCACCACCTCGGCGCCGAGGGGGGGTCGCAGAGTGCGCACCGCAGGGGGTTCAAAGGATCTTTGAGTTGCAAGATGTTGGAAGGATTGATGTCGGGATTCAAGGACATCATGCAAAGTTGCCTACACGTTCAGGAACGGAACCATTGAAGTGTGTGTATTCCCACCAAAGTGAGCCATCATTCCTGCTGGATGCTGCATCTTGAGTTTTTGGACAGTTGTTGGGTCAAGTTGAGGATGGGATAGCAAGGAGGAATCCCCAGATTTGGTTGGCCGGCAAGAATCCACCAGTTTCCCTGGGTGAGGTGGTGTGAATCATCGTCTTCGTGTGTCTGAAAACCACGTGGGCGTTTCTGCGGTAAATGGTGAACAAAAAACATCCAAAAGTTAAGTGACATGCCTGGCTCACATGAATTGAGCACCAAACCGTTTGGGATCACCATCAACAACTTCACCCGCGGGTTTCAGGTGAGCAGTCTCTGCGATGCGTCCGAAACGCACCCCTTTCCGCAGTCATCCGCCCAACCGAGACCGGCACGGCAGGTATTCGGAGGTCAAAGTTCGAGCCTCAAAGCACCGAAGCACATCCAAGGATGAACTCCAGACATGTCTGGTGGAGGCCATCGCTACGAACGTCGCAAGAAGCTCCGGCCGGAAACTTTGAACCTCAAAGCATCGAAGCACATCCAGACACGTGGGGTTTACATCTCCAGACTGGCTGCGCGGGAAAGACATGACGTGGCAACGTAGCAGGTTTGCACCCCCGTTCTCGTAGGCTTGTGGTTCCTGGAGGTGTCAGGAGGTTCTTCCTGAAGTTTCTGTTGTCATTGTAGGTCTTGCAAAAAAAAACACACACACACACACAAAAGAAAAACGTCGCGGACACGAACCTGCAGAACTTGGACATCATAGCGGACCTTGCCATGATGAAAACGTGGTCCTTGTTCGGAACCAAACTTTTTCTATCGAGGTCTCCAGTTTCGCAAGGAGACCGGGTACCGAAAGAGGCTGGATCCCCCCAAAGTGCACCAAACCACAGATCAAGATCTACTGAGGATCCCCAGGTATCCCCGTAGTATCCCGTAGTAGTGTATTAATGTCAACCTAGGATTAGGGAACCCCCCCCTATTAGTCTACCCAGCGTTCAGGCCCCTATAATAAACTAATTTGAACTATGAATTTCCACAGTCACCACCCTCTAATAAAAAAATTGTTTGGCTGAAACCGCCCCCTATTAGTCTACCCCCTGTCCCCCCAGGAAAAATACAATTATTCAAATATATATATGTGTGTTTAATTAGTTTTGTTCTTTTTGCCTTTTCAATATTTTCTTGTCTTACCATGGTGAAACTGATCTTCTGATTGATTACCAATGCTCTCCCAAAGCAACAGCTTTCCTAGAATTTCCAAAAAACTCTCTAGGAACATTCTTTCATTTTCCCTTATTAAAACTCTATCAAAATCTGCAATTTGAGAAGCTCAGAAAGGGTACCCCCCATACACCCCCTTACCCCCCATACACCCCCTACCCCCCTCTAACCCCATCCATGATGAGCTCTCATGGACCTCATGATGAAAGGGAATTAGTATTTGGGCTCTCATGGATCTCATCA